CACTGAGTTGCCGCCATGTGATTGGCTGCTTAGAAATTAAGTGTTAACGAGCAGTTGGACAGGTGTACCTAATAAAGTGGCCGGTGAGTGTAGATGGTGGGTATAAACTAATTTTATTGCTTCCATATATCTACTCTACCTGCTGCTTTTTATACTTCTTTGACAACATTCATCATGTTTCTGATGTTTCACACTCCACCAAACGAATGTTCTTGAATTAAGGAAAATGTCTTAAAAACATGGCAGCTTTTGCCTGTCACACACTGTTAGCAGTATTTGACATAGTAGAAGTAAAAGGCATGATCTTTGGAAAGAACCAAGATGGACACCATCTGAGCTTTCAAATGTGTAGCACTGACTTTATTTTTACTGTTATTACGCTGTTTACACATTCATATGAAGATAATCCTGTGATTTTCATGGATAATACTGTCAAGCTTGCAAACCAAACATGAAACCAACATATGACATTCATCTGTGTAAAAAGCTGTAGCCATATAAAAAATTACAAGTCATATGACCATTCCACAAAAATAATGTGCTGCATACTTTGAATTTCAAAAGAATTTACATAATTTCTAACATTTGCCAATAATAACTACAGGCATGCAAGCAGATAGCACTAAGATTGGGGGGAGACATGACCCTCTCAGGTTTATTGTGAGCCCCCACACATATGGATAGTGCTCGGAAATGTTTGCATCAGTAACAACTGTTAGGTAAAAAGTGTTTGGTTTTCTAATCTAAGTTTGTGGATTAGTGATCCTATAAGGGTTTGTTAATATATGCTTGAATCTGTAGTGCCAGAGTTCCAACATTTCCCAGTAAAATATACTTTGGAAGACTGAAGAGAAAAGTACTATATTAAAAATATATGAGGCAGACATGGAATACAAAATATAACCTTAAACCTAGCTATGCAGTGAATATATATATATTACTTTATGCACTTCACTGTCTCTAATTAAGGTTACAGTTACTGTGGGTCTGATTCCTCAGTTTAACATTAAATCCATAAAACTGTTCAAGTTCCTTCTAGTATTTAAGGTATAAACTTGCATTTCATTCCTGCAAAGGTTGTTGTAACCATTTTCAAACCTAGAATGATCTTTGAGGGATTTTGGAATGTAGCGATCAATCTGTTGACCTGATCATACAGACCTACAAGGGAAAAAAGATTTAAATACTGACAATCGTTTTCTGTTTGAGCACAATAGTAAAAGATAGGAGTGAAAAAAAGGAGTTCAGGATTGTGCAGCCGTTCCTTCTATTGGCTCCACCTGAGGTTCGGTGGGTGGAGTGGAAATGTCCTCTATTTGCTCTGAGTCATGTTCCGTCACAACTACGGCCACCTGGAATCACAGAGAGAGCAGTCATGAGTCTTCATGTCCTGCTGATGTGAAATGAAAATATAATTGGATTGGCAGATTCATTTTTGACATCTGAATCATTCTAACTGTTCCAGTCAATCAAAGTGAGTGTTTTATTCTGATAAAGTAAATTGCTGTCACGTCATCTTTCAAGGCATCACAGGAGGATAAAGCCCTTTGTTTTCCCCTTCTTTCAATCTCCCTTATCTATCATGCTTTGGTGCCTTTTTTGGACCCTCTCCTTGCATATTTACAAAAACTCTAAATTATGGATCAGCACAATCAGCCTCTCAATGCTATTGACCAAATTTTCCACAAGGAGATTGAGCAAAGTAGAGCCCCCTTTCATATAATCGATTCTATAAAACTTCTTTACTCTGCTGGGGTAACAGTATTGGGGGTAATGACTTAAAAAGCTCAAAAAGCTAATCAAGAAGGCCAGCTCTGGACTTCATAACCTCTGGAGATTATTTCCCAACAAAGAATTCTTCATAAGGTAAAGAAAATTATGGACAAAAGTGAGCTTTCTCTTCAGAACATTTTTAAACAACAACAGAATGTTGAGGCTTCTCCAGATCTGGTGCAAGATATATCACTACAGAAGATCTTTCCTGCCTACAGCTATCAACACCTACAACACTTATTTAAAAAATAAGACTTATTTCTGATTTGAATTTGAATTGAAATTCAATCATAATAAATTAAGTAGATATTTGAGTTTGACTAACCTTTATCCTTAGCTGAAAACATCAGTTTTTTTTTTTAAGGGACTAGCTAGCAGTTTAACCCAGTGGTAGCTTAGCTATAATTGTGTGTGTTTATGATTGCTTTTCCTGTTACTATATTGCTATGGAATAGATTAGCATTAATAGATTACATTACATCTTAAGGGTGACTGCATGGGTCAGAAGGTAAAGACAATTTAATGATAAATCTTTAGTTGCAATACTTCATCTTTACCAAAACAGAATAGAAGTACCTGAGGAGGCTCAGCTGCAGCTTGAGGAACCTGAGCAGCCTGAATTACTAAAGTAGATGGGGGGCGGGTCTGTGGATAAGGAGGCCTGTAACTGGAATCCTGTAGGTGACACATAAAAAGAGTAAGACATGACTGAGAATTTTTAGTTAAGGTTTCTTTGGAAAACAATTTAAATCATCAGTCTAAATAAAAATAGTGGTACAACAATAGTACTGATTTATGATGTAAGTACTGGGTAAAACCTTTTCTCGTCAGTCATGGTGGAAATAACAAAATGACCTCCAGGTTGTCACAGTTCTGGTTCTGTTGTTTCCTTTTGAGTTTTCAGTTTTACTTTGCTCCATGTTTTCTAGTTTTAGTGGTTTCATTCTTATGTTGTGTTCTCTGGTTATTTTTCAGTCTTTGGGTTTTTATTTCTTGCTCTCTGCTGCCCTCTTGTGTTCTTATTTTCCCTAGCTCCTTTCCCGTCTGCTCTGTTCACACCTGCTCCCAATCTGCTCGTTACTCCTCTCTTTGTTCAGTCTCCCATAAATACTCTCCTTGTGCAGTTCCTCAGTGCTGGTTCCTCATCTAACTTTGTCTGATTCCGTCTCACTGAGTCTTCCTCCTCGTGATTGTTTTCCCCCAGATGTTTCCATGGTTTCTGGTTTGTTTGACTTTGTTTTCATGTTTGATTTTTTTATTTTTTTTGGATTCCTGCCTCAGTGTTCTGTTTTCCTTTTATTAAATTCACAAGAAACTCACCTCTGCCTCCCTGCCTCTGCATTTGGGTCTGAATTAGTTCAAATGGGTTTATAGTTGTGATGTTTTGTGTTTTCTTTTCCCTCTGGACGGTTTAAAGTGCAACCATAGTTAGGTTTGTGCATTCTGGAAAAAGTAATACACATTTAAAAATTTGATAAGATTGTCTCTGAGACCAAGAAAGTAGACTAGATCTATCACCCAAGTTCAAATGTCTTTCCATTGCCTGCTACTTCAAAACAAAAATAGAGAAACAGCATAAAGTCTCCATTTTCTACTTATGTAAAACAAACATTGATTTACCATTGACTAACCAATATGCTGTTTAATTGCCTTGTGTAACAAAACTGGAAGATCATTTATTTTTCACACTGTTTTTCAGTTTTACCAGAAAATTATGAAGATATTAAACAAGTGGACTCTGTTACAGAGATGTGACATCAGGGGGGAGTCGATAATGCTTATGTCATTGCCATTCGATCCTCAACACGCTGCTTGGAGATGTCAAATGTCAAATAAGCAATTCCCCTATGATGTCAAGAGCCTCTTCATGGCGGTCAAGAGTGAAAGTAATTTCTTTCTTGGAGTTTTTTCACAATGTGTTGGTAGTGGTGATATTTATTAGCTAAATCAAGGGATGTCTCTAGATGTTTGCATTTGTGAACCTTTGCCAGCGGGAGTAGCCGCTCACTCGCCATGTTTTCCATTCAGCTCCATCCGCGTAGTTAAACATTTTCCTAGGTGCTGCACAGAGTCAAGCATAAATCAAGCTTTAAGCAGCTGACTCCCCTTTCTCTTTACCCTGTGACTGCCAGGTCTGAGACAAGAGATACACTGGTCTTACGCTAAACCATGTCAGGTGAAAAAAAAAAAAGCCCTGCAAAGTTTCCTTTTGTTATTACATTGGATTAATGCTAGTGTCTTCGAGAGCTGCCTGTTGGGTGAACAGATTGGGCTCCCCTCGTTTCCACCGATCCAACAAGTTAACCTTCTTTTCCCCTCGTAACACACCTTTGGTAATTGTGCGAATAAACAGGGATAAAAGGTTCTTTATTGATAATTAAAAGCTCTACTGATTACCTAGCCTGGGTCACTAGATTGGTGGATTTTAACAGCCGGTCCAGGAAACCACAATCCCTGGTAAGTAAGCAAATTAAAGCTACAATTATTATAAGAACACTAAATTGATTTCACCTCCGATTTTGAATCGGAGACGCAGCAGACGCTTGTTTTCATTTACATGATCTTCTGTAGACGTGATATCTTATTAGCAAACTACACTAAATGTATGTATATTATAGGTGTTGGATGCAGCATCTGCAGTGTTAAAGTTAGGGCTTCAACACCTACAAGGTAAAAAAAATACCACAGATTAGGGATGCACGTTATTGGGATTTTGGCCGATATCCGATATTTTAAAACTCATGTAGCCGATAACCGATATCGATACTGATGTTAAAGCTGGACAAAAATAAGTAGTCATTGAAAATAGCAGTTTTGTTATCCATTTCTGACACTTTGAAAAATAATATACTCAAATATATTTTCATATGCTGATATCAAATAGATTTTTTAAAACGCGGTATCGATCTATTTTACTTTCAAAATCTCGTGAAATTTCATCGTTCTGTTACAAACTCTCGTGATATTTTGCAAATTCTTGTGAGATTTTGTTAGTAAAATAGATCAATAGCGCGTCAATATATCAACATATAAAAATCTGGCAAAATTTCGTGAATTTTCAGGGGATTTCGTAGCATAACGATGACATATAGCAATATTTCATTAGTAAAAGAGATATGGTGTTTTTAAATGGCAATATATCAGCATATGAAGATATTGTGATATTTTACTGTATCAATATTTTTTCCCTCGTCTTTAGAAGTTTTTAAGTCTGTAATAAAGAAGTTTTTGAGGAAGAAGAAGAAGTAGTATTTTTTTATTATTTTTTTAGACTTTAGAATCTCAGAAGCTGATCAAATATCGGGTTAAATATCGGTGGGGTGGCCGATGTCCGATATTCAGTTTTAAGGCCGATACCGATAGGGGGCCGATTATATCGTGCATCCCTACCACAGATTTGAGGGAATATCTAATTCAGCAACACAAAAATTGATTTGATGTATACTTTGGTGTTGACACTGCTTAAAGCTTAAGTGTGTAATTTTCAGCGACATCCAACGTCCAAACTGCAGACCGCAGCAACAAGAACATCTCCCCCCCACCGCTTCTCCCCCCCAACAGTACGGCGAGCATTACGGGACAAAATGTCTTCCACGACGTCCGCATTACCAACCTTCTCAAGTGATGAGATTTGTTTACATAGATAATTTTACAGTACTATTGTTCAGTACCATCTCAGTTCATCTCTCTCAACTTGCCGTAGTTACTTTCGAGCGTAATGGACGATCCCGCAATCGCTAGTTTGTTGGCTCTACACTGCCGTAGCGCAAACATGTCTGCCTCCATGGCTGCGAGACCCGCTCCTATGTAATTATAAATAACGAATTCTAAGGCAACGCAAATATTAAGGTTAAGAGGCTGAGCTCGTAGATGATGATAAATAACATAGTTATGTATAATATATTACATTTCTGACTGTATATCCCTGTAATTATTACACACTGTAGCTTTAAATTAAAGTTGCTTATTTTAATTCTATAGTTCTATTTTCTGTTTCTTTGTCTTGAATCATATGTTTTGTTATAAGAATTTGAGTTGGAGTATAGTCAGACACTGCATATCCCTTGTATTGATTTTTACTAAATACTCTGGCTGATATTTGTTGGATATCAGCACCCAATATCGATTGGCCTTCAAAATCCCATATCAGATAGGCTCTACTTTTAAGAAAGAGCTCTGAACTGAATGCTAATATTCATTGAACCTGGCTGAATGATTGGGGCTGTGTGTTACTTTCTCTGCTAATTTATTCCCCTTTTGTCTAAAGAGTCAGGGTGCTACAGTTGGATCATGATAGCCAATTTGTGAGTTTACGATCCATTGTTTTAGCTAGCTGCGCCTCGTAGCCGGGCCTACTGGTGTCATCTGAACTAACTCATTTTGCTCCAGTCCTGCTACATTCTAATGCATTTCTGAGTCATTGTTTATTATTCACTGAAAAACGGAATGAAGCTTCACTGTTTCATTGCCGTTAAAATTTTTTATTCTCATTTATCTGCTGCTATTTTAAAGGACACCTTATATTCATTAACCCACCAGCCTTAAAACTTAGTCCTCAGAGACTCTTAGACCCATTTTTCTACTTTTTACTAGCTTTTGATTTACCTTGTGTTTATTTTTAGTAGTGTTTAGTGTTTGCATAGTTATTAGATACAATAATACTGTAATTGGGAATTTTAGCCAAAAAAAAGTATAAATACTGTAACCCATGGTCTTTTGTGGTTATTAATGCAGTGGGCGACTAATCCACTCTCCTTTGGTTGACATTTGAATAAACAGAGACAATTTATTTGGTTGGTGATTAATAAATGCTGATAACCATAATCTAAATGACTAAATTGGTGAAAGACAACTGGATTTTAACAAACAGATCCAGAAGTTGCACCTTCGGTAAAAGACTAAAGAGCTTTGGTGGATAAGCAGGTTACAGATGCAGCCTTTTAACTAATAATCATAAACTGGATTTTCCCTTGATTTTAATTACCTATTAATTAACTAAACTTCTAGTTCTAGCTATTTAGCATATTTGTAATCTGCTGGTAAAATTGCACAGCAGTGTGGTACAGCAATGCCAATGAAAGGGGTTGTGAGAGATAATGTGAAGAAGAGTCAATATGGCACTAAGTGTGTGTGTCTCTGTGAGTTTTATGTGAGCTGTGAATGCCCTGAGAACTAGGGCTGCAACTATTGATTACTTTACAAATCCGATTATTCTCTTGATTATTTTTTCAATTAATCAATTAATAATTGATACCTTCAATAATCAATTCCTTAAAGATTCGAAATGAAATTAAACCAGGTGAAACTAAGTTTTCCACTTGAGGAGTACTGGATAGAGCATATTGACAGATGAGATTAAGTAATTTCCCACTGGGATTATTAAGGAATAGTATTTTTTTTTTATCTTAAAAGCCAAAAGCACCATTAGCATCATTCTGCCAGACAGTCACAATGAATGAGGAGGTAGACGTAGAGTTGGCCAGCCAGGTTTCAGAACGGATTCTACAATTTTACAATATAATTTCAGGTTTATAACTTTGTTGTTTTGTATCAGTTTGACATTTTTGGAGAGCTTTAGAAAATAATTCATTGTCTAGTCATCAGAAAGTTTGGCACTGAGGAAGAGGTTTTACCTGTTCTGCATGTTGGATGATCTTAAAGCATTTCACGAAGTCTTAATTTCATTTAAACTTTTCCACTACAATTTTAGGCTTACAACTGCATAGCTGTGTTATTTTGATATCTTTGGAGGGCTCTAGGTAAGGATTTATCCTATTCTAATCACAAAGTTTGTCATCATGTCCACTAAAACAATCTTCAACTTATCTATTCGAAAATATTCTGCAATTATATTCAAGGTGTAGATGTATATAGTCAGAGGTTTTGTTAAATAAGGAAGTTAGGTCCCCCTGAAGGCGGCTGCGCCTCAGAACTACCCTTCCGGTTCTTTTCCTGGGAGCAAGTTATTTACTACTCTTAACTCAAACTGGGTGAAACCATATAAAAAGGGACTATAAATTAGGAGTAAAAAAGTAACAGAGTTTATTCTGGATCAGGTCGTTACAGGACAGAGAAAATGCTTGGGGTTGGCACAGCTGTGGTCTCTAAAAACGTCAATGCTTGTGCGGCTGGCTTGAGACAATTTAGCACTGGCAGCTGATCTGCACAGCGTAAATATGAGGTGAAAACAGGTGGAACCAGTAAGAGCTGATTGCAGTGGAGCAGGTGTGATGAATGGTGGATCAGACCAGTAACAGAGCAGAGAATGTCACAGTCCGGCCCTTGGTTTATGTTGTATAAAACGCAGAGTGGGTTGCTGAATGGTCGCCCCTTAAAATCAAAACGCAAGTACTTTGTTATGTTCTCTGCTGAAAAGGAATCCTGCTTTTTGGTCTAACTGCTGCATAGTTAACATAAACTGCTGCTAACATAAATCCATGACTAATCCAAAGGATGCAACATAACAGCTTTGTAAACGATATGCCGGTGGCTAGGTTTGTTAACTTTATTTTAGTAGTAGTAATCTCCTTAATATGGAAATAAAAGTAAGAGAGATTTTTTAAAGATTAAAGCATCATATTAAATTGTGAATGAGAAAACTCCGTATTGTCAGTGTCAGGAATCCAGTTTTTCTGGTCTGTTTTTGTGTTTCCTCTCCTCCTCCACCAGGTGGTGCCCCGTCCTCATTGGGTCTCCCTGCACACCTGCAGCTCATTTCCTCATTACCTGTGGAGTGTTCCTAAGCTGCTGACTGTACTCTATTCATGCTTAGTTTAGCAGAGTCTAACCTGAGTTTTTGTTTGCCAGTTTTGGATTCTCTAGCCAAGCGGAGTTTTTCTGAGTCAAACTGAGTTTTTGTCAAGCTGAGTCTTAACTTTGTTTTTGTCTTTGCCTCTCGGCAGGAAGTCATCCTGCAAACTGGATTTGTTCGGACCTTCTCTCTCTGGAAGGTTCAACTGAGAGAGTGAGTCTGCAACCTACTCCTCCAATTCAAACCAAAAATTCTAATTTCCCACTGAGCCTGAACTAACCGCAGTGTTTCCCCCTCCCCTTTCAGTTCCGGTTGAACAGTGTTCTGAGCAGCACTGGACTCATGTCATTCTACTCTGAGCAGCACTGGTTTCATCACATTATTCCTAAATAAACCTGTTTAAACTTTTCCCTGGTCTCTCTGTTTGGTCTTCTGCATCTTGGGGTCAGACCTTTAATATAATCATGAATCTAAAGCAATTTTTATAACGAATTACTTAAAAATGTTTGTATATATTATAATATTGGATGGATTTAATAGATAAAGTCTGTTCAGTCTGAAATGATGCACAGAAGGCAAAATCGTCTGAAAGTTTAAAGATCAAAAGTAAATAACTAGTAATAATATACTGCAACTTGGGTGAATAATGGGACTAAAAGTGACACTTTTTTAGAAGAACAATATTGAGAAACAATATCTGAACCATGTGCTTTACTCATGTACTTATGATTTAAGTTCTAGTTTAAGTTATAAAAGTGTTACAAAATAAGTGTCTTCTATTATTTGAGCAGGTAAGACAATTTAACTACAATTTGAATAGAATGAGATGAGATGAGTGTAACACCTTGTGTTTTAGTTTGTATCAAAATTGTTCAAGTGTAAGCACGACCCAAATTTGTAAGGCTCACAGCAACTTTCTTTACATGTGAAGAGACCTGAGTAGAGGAGGGCCATGGGAGTTACACTGAGAAAGAAAGTTGACATCTATTTCTGATATTTTATGGTGCTAAGATAAAACTGCTGTTTTCAGCCAATATATTCTATCTCTATTCTCCCACTCTGCAGAATCTGTTAGTTCAATCTCTAACGTTCTGCTCTCTCTGCTTTTTCTCATAGTAGCTTCCCCTCGTCTCTTCCTGTTTGGCTGTGAATCCATCCTGGATAGAAATATCAGCTGTGCTGCTGCCATCAAGACTTTTGTTTATAGATGTTGGAGCTTGGTCTGTTTTTCAGTGTAGTCCTGTTTCTCTGACTGTGACTAACTGGATGTGCTCTCTTCATCCTCTGACATGGGAGCTGGCTCTGAGCTGGTCTGCCTGGCTGTGTGTTTCCTGGACGGCGCCACCTGTGGAGCTGGTTGACAGTTGCCTTTTGTATCTATGCTTCTTTTTCTATGTCTGCCTCTGTCTCCTTGAACCTCAGTCAGCCTCAGCAGATGGCCGCTCACACTGAGCCTGGTTCTGCTGAAGGTTTCATCCTGTTCAAAGGGAGTTTTTTTCCTTCCCTCTCCACTCCCACTACAAGCATGTTTGGTGTGAAGGATTGCGGTCAAGCATCGACTGTATGATCTGGTTAAATTATGTCTGTAAAGTGACAGACATAATCAATTGCTGGATTTAAATTAATTGCAGCAAATCCTGCTTTTCATACAGTGCTAGTTAGGAATTTCCCCCACAAGAAAATAATTACTGACAAGAACAGGTAAAGGGCAATTGCTGATTTGAATGTGATGTAATTTGTTTTCAAGGAACTGGAATCTCTATAACTACATTTAAATTCAAATGGCCCCTCTATGGGTGCTGTAGTAGATGCTATTTCACCAAGTAAAAATATTTCTCATTTAAATTCAAATTTTGTTATATACACACAAAAAGCACATTCACACTTGCCCAGATTAAGAAAATAATATCTACCTAGAATATCTAGGTAGCTAAAAATAAAAACTGTACCTGGGTTCCTCCAGCAGCAAGAACACTTAGTCCAAACAGCATGGCAGTGATGCAGATCAATAACTCAAGCACCAGGAAGATCACCAGTGTTCCCAAAATCCCATCAATCAGTAGCTGTTCAGGGAATTCCAAAAGTTAACATTCCACAGACAATTCATTTCTCAAAAATACATACTATCTAATATGCCAGTTGGGTAAATGTAGTTTGATACATGCACTCAACTGAACTGTGTGACTAACATGTTAGTTGAGTTAATAGCCATTGACTTACTTTACACTTTTGCTCGATCAGCCCGGTGCACTTTCTGAAACAATGTTGCTGCAGTGGACAGTAAAAACAGAGAAATTGGAAGTCTCCTTCATAAGTTGTACAGTCCATTGTAAATTATGTGATGATACTAATGCCACATACAGTCATTTATCAGTAAATTGCCCACTGTGAGACCTATTTCACACAATTCATTATTTTTAGAGCTCTTGTGCTTGGGATTATAAACTGAATTCATTTTCCAGAAACAGTTCTTTTTATAATATTTGCTAGATATTTTCTTGTAATGTACTTCAAACTTCTGCTTTTGCACAACAAATTTTTATTTGGAAATAAACAAATTTTTAAGTTATGTCTTATCATGAAGTTACTTACCAGCTGATTTATATCAAGGCTACAGTCTGGGTTTAACCATTTGACTTAACATGAAGAGGCTTTCCATCCATCCATCCGTCCATCCATCCATCCATCCATCCTTCCATCCATCCATCCATCCATCCATCCATCCATCCATCCATCCATCCATCCATCCATCCATCCATCCATTCATCATCCATCCGTCCGTCCGTCCGTCCATCCATCCATCCATCCAACCATACATCCATCTATCCATCTATCCATCCATGTACATCCATCCATCCATCTGTCCGTCCATCCGTCCATCCATCATCCATCCATCCATCATCTATCCATCCATCCATCCATCAATCATCCGTCCGTCCATCCTTCCATCCATCCATCCATCCATCCATCCGTCCATCCATCATCTATCCATCCATCCATCAATCATCCGTCCATCCATCCATCCGTCCATCCATCCATCCATCCATCCATCCAATGGTTTTTGAGTGTTAATGAAAAAGGGACAACAGAGGGACACAATGGACAAAAAAAAAGATGTTTTGGTTAAGAACAGTTCATATGCTGTATCTCACCATATCATAACGGCATTTTACGTTCCAATATTACTTCCTCTTAGATCAACACTTTTTCTAGTTTGATTCAATGTTATTAGGGGTTCTTTCAATCAGATAAAATGTTATTTCTGTCCTGCAAACATTGTTTCAGTGTTGCACCAGGAAGGACTTTGGAAGTATAACATAATCCTAATAGAAGACAAATCCTGGCTCATTAAGCCTTCCATTCAACATTTTGATTGGTTTCTGGATTATAACTAAAAACAACTTATTTTTCCAGCTTTTTTGTTTACATTGAAAATACATGGTAACATTTTAAGAGTATTTTAAAGACCATACCACAGCATGCTGTTCTAGTCTCCGACAGTGTTCACAGTGGTAAGAGTCCTGTCGGTAGGGAAGGTGTTTCGACATAATACCCAGGGCAGCAGTAGCAAAGGCAGCACTGACCAGATGCAGAACCAATACACATTTCACCTGCAAATAATAACAGTATTTAGCTACAGAGTTATTCTGGAATCCAAGAGCTGCTCCATATAGTCCAGCAATATATAATAAAAATAATCACTATTGATTTTTTTTTTCATTTACTTATTCTGGTGATTACCTGAGATGGGATGCAGCACCATCAAATGCAGCACAAATTAAAGTAAAACGTCTTAGTCTGTTTGAATATAAAGCTTTTTAACCAGTTAACCTATTTGTGTTATATTTTGAATATTTACTTTGCTTTATATTTGACAGAGTTCAAAGAGTATTTTAAAAAGGTTTTACATAACGAAAGGTTTATCATTGGCATTCAATAAAAGGGTAACTTTGGACACGAAAATACTTTTTAGTAAAAAAAAATAATCAGCATTAAATCAGGTTTGATAAGAATAATAATAAAGAAAGTTCAAGTAATGGTAAAAGTCTGGTGGTGGTGACCTATCCAGCTGTTTCTCAAATCAAGTTCATGCCTTCTAAAATAAAATCAGGCGAATATACATTAACCTGAATAACAAAACTATATATATATATATATATATATATATATATATATATATATATATATATATATATATATATATATATATATATATATAAGGTCAAGATTGCTTTGATTTGATTTAGACTAGACTTGATTTAGATTTGATTTAGACTTACCCAAAACATAGTTGGTCTTCTGCCACTGTGGACCAGTACAGAACCAGATAATGTCACCTGATTTTAAGAAAATTTCAATAAGTTGTAACAAAGTCAATAGCAAAGATCAGCACAATATATATCTCATGTATAAGATGCTTTATTTACTGTGAAAGCTACTTAGATATGAAAAGCAAAGCAGAAAACATGAACTAAAATACTCCAGTTGACGCTACTTTCCTACCTGTATGACAACAATCAGAAAAAGGGCCACATCCCCAGTAAAGTGGACTTCATGGAGCTGGAGCACCGATGCACTAAGGCAAAGGATCAAAGCTCCAATAACTATTTGGATAGCCTGGAGATGGACACAGGAAAATACATAGAGTGATCTTACACAGATTAATGTAATAAAATCAGAATTTTAAGTCAACAATATTGTTATAACTATTATTATAAAAAATAATTTAATGAATTTTTCTGAAATATATAGGATATCAAAAAAAAAAGAACACTAATGTACATGAACAATTAAGAAAGGTATTTTGCAAGAGAACATAAATAAATACAGTAAAAAAAACAATCTAAAATGGATTGGTACAATTTCATTCATTTTTTCAGTATCTCTGGGATTCCTAAAACATCTACATGGTTCAATAGTATTCTTATTTCTCTTATCTGGGACAGATAGACTCCCAAACCTCCCTCTCACGGGTACACCTCCTCCAGGTGTGCTAAAAAGGCCTGAGGCAGTCCCTTCAACCCACTGCACTTTATCCCCCGATACATGCATTGAACACCACCAAAAAAAAGGCGTCCAGGGGAAATCTGGAACAGATATTCCAGCCAACCTGACTTTTTCCGCTTGATATGGAGGAGAATCGACTCTAACCCGAGCCTCTCTTGGAGGGGAAGGTAGGAAGCTAGACCAATCAGTAAAACAGCTTTTCCTTTTGGCTCAAATTTCTCTTCACAACAACTGACAGGTGAATATGTTAGATATTTGATACTTGAACTCCTACACCTGAGGCAGGAACTGCCCACCTAACTAAAGGGAATACTTTACTCTAAAGGGGACACTCTACCTTATATTTGAGAATCATGGCCTCCGGTTTGGAGGACCAGATCCTCAATCCGACCTGTTAGCCCTCAGCTTCAAACCTCCCAGTGGGGGATGGCCTCACGTCAATCCTTTTCGATCGCCCTGTGCTGAGAGGTTCCAGCTAGAAATAGTCGGTCTCACCTCAACGCATGGTTCTGGTTCTGGAACCAGTCTCCTTGAGAGGGGCTGGACA